AAAAAAAAAAAAAAAAGCTTTAAAAATAATTTTTTAAAAGTGAACTAATGGATTATTACTTATTAGACCATTTTATAAGTTTTAAAAAATAATTTTTTTAAAAAGTGACCCAGTGGATTATTAGCTTATTTTATGAGTTCTAACTTCTTAATTTTTTTTTTTACATGAATCAGATTGATTCTCAATTTGTTCAATATATATGTAAAGTAATGGTATGCATCTAAACTGTTTATGATTAACTTATTTGCAAGAAGACATTTGTCATCTGTCCAATTAAGTTAAAATGCATTTTTATTGACAACTGCCTCAACTGTCGATAGACTGATGTGTATTTTCGTTCATTTTGGACAACGTAACAGTGGTTCTCAGTATAGTGTATATATATTGGGGTAAATTTTATCAGGGTCACTGAAATTTTTGCAAATCTCGATTTGATCGTTAAACTTCAATTGTCTTGATTGGATCATGGAACTTCAATTTCCTTAAATAGTAACATTTCTCACTCATTATCCCCAAATGGACTAAAATTGCTTTATTGACATATATCATAAACTGATCTTTCACGTAATCATATTACAGAACCATCGAAACAAAAATGATAAAATAGAGGTTTCGTCAATATATTTAGATTAAAGTTTATTTCAACACTTACACAATGTCATAGAGTAATAGAGTCACGATATTCATTGACAGCAGTAAATAGCAATTTTTGTAGCAATTAGATGAAATATCGACATGTCATTATGACACATTGTCACATAGATTGTTACTCATCATCACGGTTGATGAATAATATTATTCCACAACGGTAAGTTAACATATCATATAACGATTAAACTTGTTGTAGTACAATTTTTAATTGATTGGTGAGCTAATGTTTAAATTCGATTATAGAGGAATTAAATTGAAGTTCACTAGCTCAACGAGATTAAATTAAAATCTATAGTTATTTATAGTTGAGATTTCATCGAAATTCGATATAATGACATGATCCATACGTTGTCCGTATCATATCTCATCTTAATATTTATTAATAGCCAGTTTTATAATACGTAACGATGCATGGAGGCCAAACTTCAATCAATGGGCGGGCTTAGGCATAAAAAGGTGTAAAATGGGTTTTCTTATTTTAATATTATTTTAGATTTTTAATAAATTTAAAATTTATTTAATAATACATACAAATTATAGTACCAAATATTTTTAAGAGTTTAATTAAATAAATATGTTTTTGAATAATAAATAAGATATATTACACTAGTACTAATTGAAATATTTGAAGAGTTTTTAATTTTTATTAATCAGTAAAAGATAGAAAAATAATTAATTAACTTAATAAAATATATACAACTATTTATACGATAGTACAATACACTACAATCAAATCAAAATTACAATACATTACAACCAAACTAAATGTATAATGTACTATGGCCAAACCAAAAAAATTCGTATCTCACATCGAAAGTTGACAATAAAATCCTTAGAGTTCTTCCATAAATTAGTGAACTAATAAGTGGTAAACAACATTTTTGCCCTTTCAATTTATCGGCCTAAAAGTTGAAAAAATTATAATTATTAATTTTTCGGCTCTTCAATCCAATTTTATTTTATTTTATTAGCAATAATAATAAATAAATGAAAAAAAATAGTTCCTGCATTTTCCCATCAAAAGCCAAAACTCACCTCCATCCACCTTTTTTCACCTTGATCTATACTGTCACTCCTTCAACTTTCTCTTTCTAGGATTTTCATATCTTTTTATCTCGTGGTCATTCCACTACATAACTAGAATTACACAAATTTACAATTTTTGAATTGTGGATGAAAATTCCCAGCTTGGATTATAATAATGAATTGAATTGAATTGTGCCTTTTTGAAATATAACTGGTAATTATTGTGGCATTGTTACAGTGATTGGTGAATTGTGGAGATCTGGTAGTTAGTAAGGTCAATTTGAGGGAAATTCAGAGAGATTGAAGTGGAAAAGGGGTTGTGGATTCGATCGGGGGTGTAACAGCGCCACTAGATGGCGCTGTTCAAACGCTTCTTCTATCGGAAGCCTCCGGATCGGCTTCTTGAGATCTCCGAGAGGGTCTATGGTACGATAATGTTAACCTACTCTCTGTTGTTCATTCGTGTTCATATTTCTTAGGCATTTGGAATTTTTTGAATTTTGAGGCTATATAGTGAAAAAGCGTTGAAATTTTTATAATTTAGGGGCAATTCTGGCTAATTATCTTCAAGTATGAATATTCTTCCACAAGTTTTACTTTTTATTTTTTGTTGCTCCTCAATTGGGTTAGTTACATTGGGTCTTTATCGCGCACAATGCAACTAAAATTATTAGCTTTCATTGAAGTTTTCCCTGGCTGGAATTTGACGTTGTTACCATATTTTCTGTGATGTGAAAAGAGTTATATCCCGTGGTAATTTCAGCAGTTCAGATTGTTAAAGACTTGCTTCTCTCATTACTGTATTTGTACAATGAAGTTAAGTCATACATGTAGAAATTCATTGCCCGTTATGATGTTATGTGGTACAAAAAGTTTTAGCTCCATTTAGAAGCTGGAGTATCAAAATTTGGTATTTGTATTATATTGGAATATTCATCGACTTAAATCTCTTAAATTTTGGACTCTGGAACAACATATAGTAAAGTTTACAAGGATAGATGTCCTGATCTTCTTACATGCATTATCTTAATTTTCCCAGTCAGTGCTTGTTCTCTGATTTCTCGGTCACATGTTCTTCATATACTGCAATTAAATAAAAACATTAGCACCTGCTTTCCATTTGCATCTGAAATTGCATGGTTTGAAAACAGTGTGGATGGTCTCTGTTTGGTTTAGCATTGCATGGGTAACTATAGGGAGCTAATAAAACATGTGAAATATGCAATATGGTTATGTGGATTATTATTTTTATTTTTTACTTGCAGTTTTTGATTGCTGCTTCTCCACTGCTGTACTGGATGAAGATGAGTACAGATCATACATGAATGGAATTGTAGCGCAGCTACAGGACCACTACCCTGATGCTGCCTTTATGGTTTTCAACTTCAAAGAAGGGGAAAAGAGAAGTCAAGTATCAGATGTATTATCTCAGTATGATATGACAGTTATGGATTACCCTCGGCAATACGAGGGTTGTCCGCTGTTGCCATTGGAGATGATTAACCACTTCTTGCGATCCAGTGAGAGCTGGTTGTCACTTGAGGGCCAACAGAATGTGCTTTTGATGCACTGTGAAACAGGAGGATGGCCTGTCCTTGCCTTCATGCTTGCTGGCCTTCTTCTATACAGGAAACAGTACATGGGTGAGCAGAAGACTCTTGAAATGATATACAAGCAAGCTCCTAGGGAACTTCTTCATCTTCTGTCTTCCTTGAATCCACAGCCATCTCAGCTCAGATATCTTCAGTACATTTCTAGAAAAAAATTTGGGTCAGATTGGCTCCCATCAGATACACCTCTGGCGTTGGACTGCATAATACTTAGAATTCTTCCTCTATTTGATGGTGGAAGAGGATGCCGACCAGTAGTTCGCATCTATGGTCAGGACCCTTCATCTAGAACATCCAGTAGAAACTCAAAGCTTTTGTTTTCAACTTCCAAAATGAAAAAAAATATCCGTCTCTATCAGCAGGTAATGCCATAGTATTTAAACTGGAGACTAAAAGCTTGTTTGGGAGGTGTTTATAATCGGTTTAAATTATAAACAGGTAGAAATAAGTGGTACATAAATGGGTAGTGTTTGTGGATAAAAAGTAGGCTTGACCTAAAAGTTTATATTTTAAACACCTCCTAAACAAGTGCTACATAGGATTAATCATCTGAATTCTGAAGCACTCTTATGACCTGACTGCAGGAAGAGTGTGAGCTAGTGAAACTAGATATTCATCACCGTGTTCAAGGAGATATTGTTCTTGAGTGCGTCCATTTGGATGAAGATCTAGTGAGGGAGGAAACAATGTTTAGGGTTATGTTCCATACTTCATTTATTAGGTCAAATGTTTTAATGCTGACTCGTGATGAAATCGATGTTCTTTGGGACGCTAAGGACCAATTTTCAAAGGAATTCAGAGCTGAGGTAAGGTATTGTTTTGCAAATTTTTACGTCTCTCCTTTTCCCAAGCTTTAGGATTTAAAAACATGCTCCTATCTGTATCAGGTACTTTTTTCAGATGCAGATTCTTGTCCATCTATTATCACCACGGAAGGAGTAAGTGAAGATGGGAATGAAGGAGAAACCACTTCACCAGATGAATTTTTTGAGGCAGAAGAGATCTTTAGTAGCGTGGTTGATGGGCGGGATGGAAAGTCAGATTCTAATACTCGTATAATTCAAGATAATGCTCAGGATGATGAAAATGCTCACGATCTAGTCTGGAAGGATGATTTGGATCATCATACATTTCAAGATTGTGCATCAGATGAGGGGATTTACAAACACGATGTCAAGATGGATGGATTTAAAAATATATCAAAAGCAGATGTTTTGTACAATGGGCATGCCCAGTTAGATTCTAGAGTAGTCATCTCTGAAGTAGCAAGTGATTCAGAAATCAAAGCTGTGAAAGCTAGTGCACCTGGCAAATCTGAAGAAGGGGATAATAAACAAAGTCAAGAAGTGCCTGCTTCAACGAAAAAGATAGAAAAGGAAGCTTCTGAACAAAAGCTAGACGGGGATAATAATAAGCAGATAGCCCAAAAGAAACAATCGACTTCTGGTTCAAAACCTGCTGCAGATGCAGTTGGTACCAAGAAATCGAAACAGCAAGAATTGCAGGGCACACTTTTAAGACAGGCAAAGCCAAATGCAGTATCTAGGTGGATTCCTTCTAATAAAGGTTCTTACACTAATTCAATGCATGTATACTATCCACCGTCAAGAAATAATAGTGCTCCAGCAGCACTAACTCCTGGCAAGGATTCCACACCTGGGGGAAAATCAAAATCTGTTAATGCATCTTCGGAAGCTGTAGTTACAGCAAACA